GCAGCACTCTTTGGCTATGGACTCGTTCCCTTCAGCAGGGGTAGGAAACTCTAGACGACTACTCGTATCCTGTGACACCGCTGTCACACAACGTGACAGCGGGGCGTCTCGAGTCGCCCCGAGTTGTCCCTACCCTGCTCTCTATTGCAGCAGTGGCACCATCTACGCTGCCTGGTTGCCAACCACCCAGCTATGGGGGTTGAACCATCTTTCCCACACTTGTCAGACTGGCAGGAGACCGTCACGTGGGCCCGGGCCGGCCCCGTTCCTGACATTGTGTTCACTTTCTGTGGTTGAGGCCATTTTTGTGCTTGTGGTATGCATGGTTGAGGTTTTGATTTCTGTGGTTAAGGTTTTGATTTCTGTGGTTGAGGTTTCAGGGCTGTATTGTAAGTGTCTAGAAACTAAAATTCAGATTTCCTTTCTCCCTCCCATCAGATTCAGATCAATTCATCAATGCTCTACAAAAAGTTAATACCCTTTGCAAAGCTCCAAAGTCTGGAAAGCTTTACTTACCAGGTGATTTATCTGGGGATCTTGCAGTTCAAATGTTCAAATGTCTGAGGCTCTCTGAAGCTTGGTGAGATCAGGACTCAGGAGAATCTAGATATGAAGAAGGTAGGTGCCTTAAACTGCGATAGCAAGATTGATGGGATTGATCGGCCATCATAGTATCAATCTATTATACAAAAGAGGGTCGTGTCGTAATCGTATCAGTAACCAATCAGAGGCCGTTACGCGTCGAGACAACTTGGTGCGGGGTCGTTTGACTCTTCAGTCATGTAATTCTGTCTCTTCTCTCTTTTGCGTGCAGTGTATGGGTACCGGGAGACTCTGGACCCTCTGTGTGTGTCTTTTCCTGCTCCCTTGGGCCTCTGACGACTGCCACAACGACAATAGTCATCAAAACCTAAGACCTCCCTCTGTTTATTGCTCTCGAGCTCTCTTAAGTATTCTACTTCAACATGCAGGTGTACGAGTACTAAAGGCTTTCTAGACGCCCTGAGTGCTGGCTCATCTGTCATGGGCTTCCTCCATTGACACTCCGACACCATTCCTACTATTTTGTGTTGACACTGTTTCTGACTACACCACTGTTCATTGACAGTGGACACACTTCAGCTCATGGTCAAGATTCAGCAAATTCTAGGTGTCAAGACATAATTATGTAAATGCTCTCAGTGCCTTCTCTGCGGTCGATTCCGTCGAGTCCGCTCATCAAGATTCAAGATTCTGTCAAGATTCTGTTGAGTCAAGACATACTTGGCCATATGGGATAGGGATAGGTATGGGTTTCAGAGGAAATTTGTGTCAGCCTTGGAGTTTGGGTGGTCAGATGATGCGAGAGATCAACTGGCTCGAGCTCAATATACACTGAGAACAAGGCGACGAGGGCGTCAATGGGGTAAATTGTGTGCATCTTATCTCAACTTTCGTTGTTCAAAGACGAACATTGTTCACTGAGCTGACTTGAAAATGTGCGTGGCTCCAGGCACGGTTACTGGTCACAGGGAGCTGCGAGGAACCAGCCAACGGCTGGTGACGAGCAGCGAGCCTTGGGTCAATTTCTCTTTGAGACTCAAGCACTTGAGTCGTTGTCTCCAGTTCAGAGTGAGAATCGTTTCACGGGAGACATTAGCATGCATATTATAAAAAATTGTTGGTACTGAGTGTATACAACCTGCAACAAAAGCTTTGCCCCGTTGCGAAGCACGGGTTCCAGCTAGGGATGAGCACGGGTCAACCCACGGGTGTCCGGAGGCTGACTCGGACTCAGACCTGCACAGCCACTGATCTGTGACCCGGGGCTCCGGGTACGGGTCACCCGCCGGGTTGCAGGGTGGAGGGACAATGTGCGGGCAAATAATACCGAGGAAAAGGATGGGCAAGAGCCAGAATTGAACGCAGGACCTCTTAGTGACGTTCAAACCGGCAAGGCGAGAGAAAACCACGGTAAGCCAGCTAGACCGAGTAGGCACGGGTCAAGGTACGGCTGACCCGGATCCGTACCCGCACGGCTCGAACCCGCCGACCCGCGTGGGTCAGCCGGACCCGTGCTCATCCCTAGTTCCAGCTAGTTTATATGAGATTTCAATGTGGGTAAGTGGTCTAATGTATGAGAACATGACCATAAATCTCATAGCAAAAGGCTGCACAACCACAAACCATCAACTGAGAAGCAAAAACCATGTAGACCACACACCACAACCTGGTAAAAAAACCACAACCATAAAGCTGTACCATCTTTAAAACCTCAATGGAAAGAGCACAGACTCCAATAACTAAATTTTTGTGAAAACTGCTCTTATATCCGGGAGCTGTTGATAGCCTGTCTATTCGGCATCATCCACTGTGCCGCCTGGCACGCGCCATTTGGCTCGCTGTTAGAGCGCTGGCTCTGGCGCACCGCGGCCGTGCTGCATACCGTCATCCCAGTGGCCGTGCTCTGCGTTTTTTGCGCGGAATGTCTGGCAGAAGCTGGGGACATATGACCGCTTTTGGGCTGATACACAGCAGTTCCTTCGGTGGATGCTCCTGCTGTATATTCCCAGCAGACTCGTGACTCTGGTAATGCCACTGGTCGCGCTGCGTTGCAGCTTATGTCGACGTGAATTGGAATATTTATCTCCCGCACCTGTAATGTGTTCAAGTTTGTCATCCCTTTAGAATTGAAGTTCTTGTACAGTCTTCTTAGTCCAAGGAAACATTTGAAGTTGCATGGTACTTTGGCAGGAAAATTCATCTATGGAGAAGAGGTTCACATCCAAAATAGACATGAGCAAGTAAAGGCTGTCCGAGAAGGTTCCGAGGACAAATGATATCAAAACGGACCAGACACCATTCACATAAGTGCCCCCGAAGAAGCCGCCTATATATGTATACCTGTGAGCCAATCGGTGGAAGAACACGCTGTACTTAGACTAACTACAAGCGGAGTCAGCGACAGCCTGAGACCACGTATTCCGTGTTAATCCACCCACGTACCCAAGTCTCTGTAACCGTCCTAACGCCGTCTATACACAGCCCCAGCACAAATTTGTCTCCTTCTCGCACCCTGGCCAGTTTCCGACCTCAGACGGCTGCTCACTGCACCGACTCCCGTAGCGAGCAAAATGCGACCATTGAACGGACCCAGAGACCCTGTACCAAGTCACGCCTGCCGATATAGCATGTGCGATAGTTGTCCATGGACGGGAAGCCTGAGAGCGCCTCGATAGAGCCGCAGTGCACGCAGAAGGTGAGTTTGTCGGTGATTCTGAAAAGTGTCCCAGGTCACGCGTGGACGGCGAGGGGCAGAATGGGAATGGGCGCCCAGCCCAGAGATCGTCGAGTTGCATAAGACGGGTATTGAGTACGCAGAGTGCCAGGTTTGGATAGCGCTAGCACAGAATATGGGTGAGATTCAGGGTAAAATTAGAAGGTGAATTGGGCGGGCCACGGGCGGGTCCAGAACTGTCGGGAGATAGATCCGCGGCTCGACGGCATCGAGGAAATAGTGTTGGGAAGGGGAACAGTGCGTGTCTATCGAGAAGCGCAGTCGATGTAGATCCACAATGAGATTGACGCAGTCAATTTGACGGCGAAAGTGTCTTGGGACAAGAAGCGAGGGAAAAGAGTGTAGTGGGAACAGCCTGACTCCTCCCAGGCTCAGGCTCCCAGCATCCTCGCCCTCATCCCAGAGTCGAGATATACGCCGTGGGTCTTGCTTCTCTCCCCGAGACAAATCTCATGCCGTCCGAATAGGCGCCACAATACCCGCGATGAACAACGGTCTTGCGCATCGAATTAAGGGGCCGAAAGAAGCAGGTCGCTATAGGAGGGGCGGGGACAAGGGAGATATGGTCGATATAGCGCTAGGTCGCGCGCGTGCGCCGCAATACTTCGACGTCTTCGGAGGGGAGGTCACTCATGTGACCTCCCTTTTGGGGCGGGGCCGTTGGGTGAATGTGGACGTGGTAGTGGAGGTGAGAGAATTCGTGCGCGGTGGCTTGCTATCGTTTTCGGATGCTCAAAGGTTTGTTTAAACTTGAAGGAGAATAAGCTGCCGGATGGATGTTTGGTGGTTGGGGAAGAACGCGACACCGGCCGTGCTGCCTGTGGGAAGCGGTAGATAGGCGACTTCATCGGTAGCAGTGGGTATCAACCGCCCACAGCACAGGCCCTTTCTTCAAGCCAGTCGTGCTCAGGTTTCAAGTTTACTAGCGGCAAAGACATTTTTGTTGCTAGACACAGTAAACTGGAGAAGGGCGGGCAGGGAAGAGCAGATTAAGCATTATTCCGTGGCAAAAAGGTCAGAGGACGCACTACATCCACCGAAAGCCCGCGTTCTCCCCGAGGTCATCCTGTTTGTCGTCCCTCCCTTCCCCTGCGCCTTGCAAAAGGTCTTCCCGAGGAGGAGGCGCAGCGGTAAATATATATATAGCTTCGCTTTCCGCTCCCTCTGTGAAGCAAACTTCAGCGCGTGGTTGCGCGGATGATAGCTGTTAACTTACAAATACGAAGTCCAGCGTCCCTCAGGCTGATGGGCATTTGCCAGGTAGGTTGACTGCTAGCCCATAGACAATCTTGCTGTCTTCCGCTCACCTCGCGCTTAAGGCTCGATGTCGGCGTTACTCCAGAGTCGGGACGCCGCCGGCCTCGTGTCGTCACTGTCGTGCTCGCATCCAAGTCTGAAAATAGCAGGGTCAGCGGCAGATTATCATAGCAAGTCAGAGCGAGCCCTCGCCGCCGCGTGATAGATTAAAGCGATACCGAACGCAAGCCTACGAGAATCTGGAATCTGAATGTTATTTCTCATCAGTAGTTACTACTTAGGGCCGAGCAGCTCACTATCAGTTCCTACTACGACACAACGAGCCCCCCGCAGAGCGCTGACTACACCACGCGCAGAGTCAAGCGAGTACAGTTTGCCGGCGAGATGTGCAAAGCCAGTCAATCGTGGTCCAGGAAGAGGCAAATAGTGCTGACTCATCGGTGTGACCATTTCTCTTTTGCTTCTTGTCGACCACGACGAGCTGGAGGATGGAACGCACACAGCAACCGGACAGCCTATGGAGGCGCTCCAAGACCTCGTACGCCCCGCGATATCCTGTTTTCCAAGGCTTTCTCACCCACTTATAGCTAGAACGGACACTTTTCGGCGCGACGAGCAGCGAACAGCAACGACCAGTGCGGCGACTCCGGCACTCCAGCCAGCGATGCAATGAGCACTCAGCACATGAGTAGCGACTAGTCTGGGAGTGGCTTCACCCGGGGCTGAAGTCTTGGGCAAGAAACGGTTCGCTCAAGGTGCGTGTTTGCGCTACTTGCTTCTGCGCGCTTTGTGGAGCTGAAACACTTCTTTCGGCAGCCTCCCTGCGCTCTTTATTTGCCCTGCCGAAGGCTACACCGCCTCTGTAGTCGCCACCGTCCCTATTTATCACCTCCTCATTCCCACTCTTCGCCACGTAGGCAGCAAGTCCGCTTTGCTCTACATGCGCATATGCAAGATGGTGGAAGCTCGAATCTCATCCAACGACCGCGGGCTGGCCGGAGGGAAGAAGGGAGGGGAAGACTTGCAAGTGGGTCGTGCTACCGGTGTATGTGCGTATTTGGCTCCTCTAAATTGCCTCTCCATATGCTTATCGATCTCAAAGACGAGTTCCTCCCCGTCTTTATCGACTTAGTCCTACTTGGAACGAGGCCTTCACCGACCATGACAATGCCCCCTCAAACTGTTTTCCGCTTCCTTCGACAACAACTCTCTTAATCCTAGCTGTCGTCCCAGTTCTATCGACTCATTTCCGACCACCGTATGGCCTTCTTGGTCTTATTGCCTGTGAAACATCAGCGCGAAGACCATATCTCCGTCCCACAAACTTCCCCTTTCGTCACCATCTTCATTCTCCAGTCGAAGCATGCTTTGCTGTTTGCCACTCGCGACTGGTTTCACGATTCAGTGCATTCGAGACATTTCACCCCATGATATCGTTGGACGGGGCGAATGGGGTGGGAAAATGGAGGGAAGTACTGTCCCTGGGGACGGCTGTCTCCACGGGTTCGCTCCCGCCACTGGCTACATTTGCGCTCGCCGAAAGATAGCCACTCCGACTGTTACTTGGGTTTCGCGACTTGCCGAATCAGGAAGGTGCAGGTTAGTTAACAACATTTATCTCTTTTTCTTGTAAACTTACCTGTCCTCGTCTAGTTTCACTTGAAGATTCCAGCCATACACGTCCTCCATCGTTCCAACAATAATACCTACTTGGAATACCCACATACTTCCAACGCAGCGTCTCGCTGCCCGTTCTACGTTTCCCTTATAACCATCCATCTGTTCTGCTGCTTCCGACCCGTTCGATGGCAGGTTGCCCATTTTCATGCCTTGCCATCGACGTGGGACCAGCTCTGTGGCCTGTACTGATGCTCGCGGGCTCCATTCTTCCTCCATCGCTTTCCAACACTTGTTGATTTGGCGATTTTGTCCATTGCACATATTTTTCGCAAAAACTTTGACTTCTACCTACTTCTACTCGGTACCTCATTCTCTTACTCCGCTCGTATACCACCACTCATACTTCAGATACATTCCCAATTTACTTTGTATCGTCTTCTCTTTACTCTACCCGTCGTTACCCTTGGAGTATGCCGTTTATGACTGACTGTGCGAAGAAGCAGATATCTTCTCTTCTCCTGCTAGCTTGCCCGTCTTTGTGAGTATATACGAGAGTAATGGGACTGGGACTGGTACAATGGGACTCGAGTCCCACTTTTCCTGGTCCCAGTCCCATTTCCGAGGTCCCGGAGTGGGACTCGGTTACGACACATCACCCGAGTTGATGGATCGACGCATGTCGCATCAACTGGGTTGCGGCGCCGGCCGCGACGGCCGGGGTTTTCCACCCCGGACCCCGACCAGGGCTTTGCCCTGGACCCACCCTGCCGGGGGCTTCTGCTCGCCGCGGGGCCCGCTGCGCGGAGCGTGGGATCTCCTTCCGGCTGTCTTTTCCTCTGTTTTAACTGTGTAATCATCATATTCAACGGGGTGGCGGCGCCGGCCGCGACGGCCGGGGTTTTCCACCCCGGACCCCGACCAAGGCTTTGCCCCGGACCCCACGCTGCCGCGGGCTGCCGCTCGCCGCGTAGGCCCGCTGCGCGGTGCGTAATCCATCTTTTTCTGATTGATATTTGATTCACATTGTCTTCTTAGCGCTCGGCTAAGTGTTCTCGGCGCCGCGAGAGTGGGACTGGGGCCATCAAAGTAGGACTGGATCCCATTGTGCGAGTCCCAGTCCCACTACTCTCGTCACTCCTCCGTCTTTGTCGTTGCGAAATTCAACAGATGGTTTAACAAGCAAGAGTGGTGGAGGCTAGAGATTCTTACAGGCGGACGCAGGGGGGATAATGGCTAACCGTGTGTGTAGCAAGCAGCTCTGCCTTTCGCACATTGCTAACGATGTCTTCAACAACGACACTGGCACTATCTCAGCCTGGTTGTCGGACTAGGAGAATCTGAAGCCTTGACAATATACAAATTGAGGCCCCGTTGTCGTCGATACAATGAGTAGTTAGTACCAAGTACTACGTTGTGGGTATGTGGTAACTTGAAGCAAAGTTACTATGGTTTACATGAAGTTCCTAATAAACGCGCGGTCAAACCCACAGTTCTCTTCAGCAAACGCCACAAACTCATCGTCGGACACGCATCTAACCTCGGCCCGTGCGTCTACCTTGATCCAGCAATTGATAATATCTCAAGCACAGCATCAGCAATATCTGATATGTTCAAAAGCGTGTACTCACCGGAAAGGGCTGCCAACGCACGCAACGAGCTAGACGCGCCAAAGCAGGCCGCCACGCGCTCCGCCCGCTGATCTTCCGTGTCGGTGTCCACTTCGAAGGTGAACACGAGCATCTGAAGAGCGGGGTAGTCCAGTTGGCTCAGGGCCTGTGCTGCGTCCTGTGCAACGCTGAGTAAGGGTAAAGTGGGTGCGCATCCTTACGTCGATTGTCATCGGGTTCCCGGACGTGAAGAGCCCCACACACCGGGTCTGCGGAAGGCAGCATGCGACAGCGTTGAGTATAAGGTCGGTCTCCTCGCTGATGTCGAAACTTGTCTCGCCGTACTTGTTGATTATTTTCAGATTTGCGGGCACGCCCACGCTGCTCGCGACTGTGTGAAGAATAAACTTGTGGTAGGCTCCCGCCCCGCGAATTTCATCTTCGGAGGGAGATTGCACTAGTATATCTGCTACGGGCAGCCAGTCCCAGTCGATGTGCAACTCTTCCAGCGAAGGCAAGGATAGTCTCTCCACCAAACCGAAAATAGCAGACGGCACCACGAGCCGCGTCAGGAGGGGGAAAATGTAACTTGCGTCGACTGCCATCTGTCCAGTAGATCTGGGGAATGCTGAAAGGTCAATGTTGCGCAGACTCTCCGCGTGTCGGGCGAGGAATTGCATTAAGATTCGCGAAGAAGTGTGTTCGTCGACAGTTGCCAAGGCCCTTGACTCATACATCTCGCTGTGGAGGTAAAATTCATTGAGATGAGGAAAGTGGGCGCCCCAGAGAAATTCCATGCCGTCCATAACATGGCTCGTGCAGAAGAGCGTGCGGAGCGCTGGAAAGGCTTCGGCCCAGTTAGCAAGAGTTTGGGACCGGCTAAATAATAATCAAATCAGTATTGTATGCCAGCGCGAACGTATCCACTCACAGGAGCAGTGCCATCCCGGGCCCTGCCCGAAGAGTGTGGGTAATAGCGCTGTCAAGGCCGAGCCAGCGAACAAACTGTCCCAATTCAGGCTTTGCCACGACTGTCGCCAGAAAACAGCGAGTACTGTAGATTGAGCGAGCTGAGGACACGCTGCGGAGGTCGACCTCGCGGTAGAGCACGGGCGTCGCTACCGCATTGAGTTGACGACAAACGAGCGCGAGGCGGTGCACAGCCATGTTGGGGGGCCACGAAGCGGGCACGAAGTATGTCTCGTCCATGATTTTGAGATGGAGTTCGTTGGGCAGGGTAAGAAAGCGGGGAACATGGCCTGGCTGGCGCGACATGGGCGGGCAAGGGTGGTGGTGGTTCCCGGCAAGAGGCAGTTGATCGGGAGAAGATGCACGTGTGTTGCACGCTTCAGATGGCAGATAATGATAAGATACAGTATATTGTGTTGTCTTCGTCAATACACATTACAGAGCATACAACTTGACGACAAGACACTTACCCACTGGTGGTCTCGTAGATGAGGAGAGTTAAACCACAGGCACAGCCCGGGAAGGCGCCCAAGAGCCAGAAGAGCATCACACATGCTCGCCTGAACACTATCCCGCTCTGACTGGACAGCCTTGACGAAAACAGGTCCAGGGAAGACCTTCCGCCCTGGATCCGGTGCCGAAAAGGACGATAACGCAAGGGATTTTCGTTCTCCAGTAGGGGCTGCGCTCGCCGGAGTAATGTATGGCGCGGCTTCGACAATACATCGAATACTTTCGCCAGCCGCGCGGCACGTGACCTTCGCTTTTGGGAGAGAGGCGGTGGATAGAGGGTAATGGTGCGGGGGAATGGAGGCGGATGCGGATGCGGAGGAAAACAGAGGAGGGGGAAAAGTACTGCTTGGTGGGCGGCATATTCGACTGCTACTTGGGTGTTCCGCAATTAAGCTGCGAGGAGATGACCCAAGACGATGACGCTGCCAGCGGAAGATTACAAATGAGTCGTGAAGTGTGTGCTGGTAGTGGACAACGTGTAAAGCCGCGCTCGCAGGCATTGAGCCTGAGCTCACGAGCAGTTTGGGTGAAAAGCCTAGCGAGGAAACGGGACACCATTTGCCGGCAGCAAAGCACCACACACCTTGAATGCATCCAGCGTGTTGCCCAACGCGGTGGAGCCCGTCGTAGATGGGATGGAGTTTCCGTCAGGCGAAGTCTGCCTGACGAGATAAGTCAGAGTGCGTTAACAGCAGCCCGGCGCGGCCACGCACCCGTATCCAGCTATTCTCCTTTATCGGTTGAACCCTCAACAGGCCAGTCTTCAAGGGAACAGGCTGTGACAACGCGTCAGCAAATCAGAGCAGCAGGACTGGACAAACACTCACCCGTCCTTGGCTCCGCAGACCCTTCTAGCCTTCCCCTAGTTTGGGTGCCCGCTCGTGCCGAGGCAAGGCGCCGCAAGCCTGGTGGCCAAGGATGCTGACGCTGGGAGGTTGGTCAGCGACAAGTGGCCAGCGACGGTCTCCTAACGGAGTACTAGCATACCGTCAGCGGCGGCAATGATTAGGTGCGGGCACGGGGAGCATGTGTCGCGCGGGGAGGGGGGGGGAAGAAGGAGCTGGTGTCGGTCTCTGTGTGGGCCGTGTTGAGGGAGAGGATTCAAAATATTAAGCACACGCTCTTCAATTTGGGGGCTCTTCTGCGTGGAAGAACGCGAGGGATGTGGGGATATGAAGTGGTAACGTAGGTACACGTTTGTAATACGCCTGCTCATTTGTTGTTAAACGTTTGTAATACGCCTGCCCATTTGTTGTTAGCCTCAGAATCTCGCTGCAAAAAACTGCTTACATACCAGAGTTTCCCGCCTTTCCTTCGCGCGCTCCATAACCACATTCCCCTCTATCTTTGCGACGACTGCGACAACCTCTGCCCAGCTAACCCCGTTCGAGGGCTGTCTACCCTTCCTCTCCGCAAGTAGGCCCTTGAAGTCGAAGACATTCTGTTCCGGCAGAGGGAGAACGAAAAGGCGAAAGAGGGCGGGGAACTTGGATGAAAAGGAGACACCAGCGGACAGGACATGCTTGACATGGCTTGTAAATGCGATATCTGGGGGAAAGGCAGTAGAAGTAGGAGATAGGACCATTTGTCGTCTGGGAGGAGGGCGTTGTTGGCTATGAGAGCGCTCGTAAACGACGGTGTAGGTGGTGAATACCGTGTTGGCGAAGTCGGAAGGACGAATGGGGTGGTGTGTGTGCTCGCCAAGATGGTCATCGTCGATACATAGCCAAGCTGCACGCTATTGTGCTCGGGGACCAGATAAAGAAAGGAATAATCGAGTCCTGAGGCCGCAATTAGGCGATTGGAACATACAGGAAAGCTAGGTCAACGCACCGGTGTCCGCAATGGCCAAGCCCCATGTGTCGTGCATCCTACATCATTCCTCTCTGCCCACGACCCTCTCCTGCGGTGGTATTACGTCCTTCGAATCCGTCTTTGGCGCGTTCTGGACCAGAGGCAGGTCGTTTTGCAGGGCTGCGGCGACGACATGAGAGTACAGACGAAAGAAGAATAGTGTGATGGTCAGAGGTCACACCATCTTTCGTTTCGCCAACCGACCAACTATGCTGTCTGTTCCGCACTGACTCGTATGCTACTAGTCCCGAACATCCTCTTGTCAAACCCCCGCTCAAACTCAATTATCTCCTATGCTTGCCGGGCAACATAAAAACAAATATGAATCTACTAGCACAAGTTCTGAGAAACTTAGGCCGACAGTCACCACTGGTCTGCGAGCGCGACACGGACAACTGACCCATTCTTCTCACCACATGATGACCGTCGCGGTCTCTCTCAACACTGCACTTTACGCCGCCATACCCATGGTTCCTGGTCCGGGTCAAGGCTTCTCGAATCAGACTGGATGAAAAACATGATACTATCGAATTCACATCACATCGCTACGGTCCTCGAGCTCCCGACGTAAACCTTCCCCGGGCCATGAATTCCATGTTCGAAAGATGACCATGAGGCATCGCGACCTTGATCTGCAAGTGACGCTGCAGATTCCTCAAGCTGTACATGTCTTCGTCGCAAAAGGAATGTGGTACATGCTCAATAACGAATCGACTGAGCTTCATTATGTACCCAGTGGAGACCGCGTTGGCGACTCGCATCGCAAGGCCATCCAGGAACGGGTGTAGCTCAATCTAAACGGGAGACGGCCTGGACGGCATCGAGGACTTGTACCTGGAAGGGTGGGGTACGACAAGGGTGAATATTTCGAGATTCGGCAGAAAGTCGAGGCGGGCAAAGTCCGCCGCAAGAAGTTTTGAATGACGCGAATCCAATTCGAGCAAGGGCAATATCAGCTCCCGCGTCATATCAAACGAGGGCGAGAACAAGAGGACTCGAATAGTGCTGTAGCCTGTCGAATAATAGCCCGAGTTGATGAGGGATAGGTCTAGCAAGGTAACATTGGCAGAGGAACGGGAGAGGCATTCGTGAATTAATATCTTCGCCTCGCCCAGGTAGAACTGTGAGATGTGAAGGGCTGACAGAGATGGGAGTGTAAGATCGGCCAAAATAAAAGCACTGTTCTCCCCCAGTAATGACAAGGTCGACAAGGATGGCATAATCATACTGGCCACATCGTCAACGCTGACGAATTATGTCAAGCACACTTGCTCTGCAACTCATAATATACCAACGAGCTACAATTGCACTGGTGTCGCGTTACACATATGACGTTCTTCAGGTTTTCTACGCAATACCACTCGAAAGGTCTAGAATGGGCGTGAATCACTAACTTTTTGCTCTTCAGTTATTGACGGTTCTACCGTAGCGGTAGTGGATATTGGAGTATGCGCCATATCCTGCTCGTGAGCTCGGCTAGTTGATCTCGAGAAGGGCCCAGGGACGATGGTGTATTCTACGCAGCCTTTGTACACCGGGATACTTCCTGGAACCCGGCGTTCGTCAGTCGGACCGTGCCGTGTATTAATCCAATCCAATCCAATCCTCGCGGTTGAGGCCCGATAGTGTGAGCTCTTCAAGCACCTGTACACGGGGTTTTTTTTAAAAAAGCCTTCTCATTACCAGTGTTAATGTTTTTAAAAAATGCCTCTAATTTATGCCCCTGCCAAAAGGCGGGTTTTACATAGGGAAATGAGAGATCAAAAAAAGGTTTAAAAGGTTGAAAAGCCTTGTCAGGGTGGGCAGTGTGGTAGCTATAAGGCCCCAGACCTGACGTGTGGAAAATTCCTTAAGTATGGGGAAAATACTGAGTAGGGGAAAGGCTAAAAAAGAGGAGAAAAATTGTTGATGCCAAGGTGCCAAGAAAGATACAGAGTTTGACAGCGTGGATTTTATTAAAATGAGGGGAAGACTTGTAAATCACTGATGTTTTTTAAAAATGTTAATATTCTAATTACAAGAGATGTTTTTAAAAAAAACCCCGTATACGCCTGCTTCAAGTGCCACCAATTCCGGAAAGAGAGAGATAACATCGAAATATGATGACTGACAAAGAATGGTCAATTTACGTAGCTGCTGGATTGGGATTGAGAGCTGCGATATTAGCTGGGGATCGTCAATAGCCAGCTCTTGGAGGTGTATAGCGTTTTGGAAACTGGTGCGCAGATTTGACTGTGCAGCTGCTGCCAGTGTCGACGGATTCAGGGTAAGCTTTGTGAGAAGAGGAAAGTCGAAGCCAGATGCGGGACATTTGAAGCGGATGGCAATTGCATTCAGATTTGCCTCTTTCCATTGTGCGGTAGAATTGAACAGGTTCTGAGGAAGGTGGGCGCAAAATTCGCCATCGTCATGATGATACCACAGGCTCGGAGTTGGGACTGTGACGACGATCGGCAGCCCCTGCGCGCGTTGGAGAAAGTGTTCAAAGAGGGGACTGCTCTGCTCCCTTTTCAGGAAAAGGTATGTATTTGTCCACAGGTGGGGCTCCGCAACAGCAATAGCTCGCCACCGTTGTGAGACCGACGTTATTCGTAAGAGGATGACGGGAACTTCGGCCGGTGGGCTGAGCGACACGGCTGCTGCGAAGATTCTGCACAGGATCTCCGGAGGGACCGTGTTAATCGGGTAAACCACAGTCGAGAGTTGTTCCTCGATCGCCTCTAGACGGTCTTGAAGTGCCACAAGCTGGGTCTTGAGTCCATGGATGGTTTTATTGAGCTCTTCTGCCTCGCTTCGGAGAAGGGAAATGGCGGGGGCATCCAGCGGCTTGTCCGTTGGGGGAGGACTCCGAATTCCTTGAAGAGCGAAAAGTGCGCGAGAGGCCCGAGCATAGTACTCCTCCACGTTGTGCTCATCGTCCTCCAGCTTGGCGTAGTATTTGTCGTCCTCTGAGTCGGCATCCTCGTCCTCCTCCCAAGTATATTCATCCTCCTCCATGAAGTTGTTGTAATCGATGAAGGCAAGAGCAAGAAGTTGTGACTCAGAGGCCACGAGGCAATGCTAAAAATGCCAAGGTTAAATGAGATTCAATTGATATGTGCAAGAAACCATAGGGTGTTGAACGGTAAGCAGGAAGGAGAGAGAGATCCAACTAGAAAGTGTTTGTATAGGATGAATACTTGGAAAACGGAAGAACGATGTGGAAACGTGTAGAAAATAAAAATGGAATCGTGACGAATCGATATGTATGGGAGTGAATGGATAGAAAGTTATCGACTTGGTCGGAAGACGAAATGGTATGGCGGCCATGTATAGTGACTGGTGTAGATGACCAGCGCTGGAGCTCGCAATGGAGACGGAGGGATAACAAGAGACAGAGATGGCGGAGGAAGGTAATGGTTGTTTTAGCTTAGCGAAGGGCCGCCGGTTCGAGGACATTCACGACTCTCACAACGCGAGTCGTGTCCAGCATCTCGAGCACGTTTGGTCTCCCGAAGGTCCGCGGAGCCTCTGCCCGGTCTTTCTCTCGACCATTGACACCGAGTTTGGGCGAGAAAAAAGCAGTGGATCGTCCTGCAAAGTCGGCAGGGAGAAAGGCGCCAGCGAATAATGCATGCATGTGGCCATATGCGGTCTGCATGGTGGTCGCGCTTGAAAAATCAGGAGAAGGGATGGTCGTAAGGGCGGCCAGTTGCCAGTTGGTCGCAGATGTTGTCGATGACGTTTTCGCTGACGTCCAAGAGGAAAAACAGGATTGGGATGAGTGCAGTGCTGAATGAGTCGTAGAAACCGGAGCTTGTGGCAGATCTAGGGTAGGAGAATCTCTGTAAGCCGTGAAGGACAAGAATGGACAGTTGTTTGACGCACATGTCGACTCTCCAGCAGCACTCCCTCCTCCCACCAGCCCCATAGAATTAGCGTTCAGAAGCGAGACAATCCTTCCAAATCTACAGGGAGAAGAGGGCAGTCAGACGCGAAGGCCACAAACTTACGGTTGGTTCACGCACCAGTCGCCGATAACCAGCCAGGCTGCAGCCTTCCGCGGGATAACGAAATCAGTGGGAGTGGGACTGGCCCAGTCCCACTGATGAGGTCAAGTCCCACTGATTCGTCCCCAGTCCCACTGATCAACCACGAGTCCCACTGATTTGTCCATGTTCGGTGGGATTGATGACATTCGGCAGCTGGAGACATCAATCAAGCGGCAGCTGAAGGCATCAATCAAGCGGCGATCACACGTGTCACCGCATTGACAGCATGTGACACGTGTCCTTCTTGACTCCGATGACGGTCCCCACAGCACCTTCACGCATCCGGGCGGGGCCATCCGAACATCATCTGTGTGTTCAGTCACCCTTTGCGGCCTTCAGCAGCAAGCTCCGAGCTCACAAGAATGGATGAGTCACCGGGCGCCAAGTCATCCTCGCGCCGCCGCCATCTGCGCGTTGTCTACGCGCGCACTGCGTTTGGCGCCACGTTCTGATAAATTTATGCATGCGGTAGTGTCTGACTCACAGTAGTCGCACTGGCACGCTGCAATCCCTGTCCTGATGAGCGGTCCAATGACCAACACGTTGAGATGTAGGCCAATAACTGTTTTTCCTTGCGCATTTACCCCCGTATAGGATAGCGCATAGCCAACATATAAATTCAAGGTGTGCTTCGCCTTTCCAAGTCCTCAGTGCCTGTTTCCCCTCACGGCTTTACAGATGGACACGTCTCTGGAGAACA